GTGGTAGTTGTTCAGGGGAACCAGACTAAGATGCAAGCACCTGCGAGGGTATATGAAGAAGTCAGGCCTGTTTTGGTTACCATCAGGAAGACTGTAGGTAATATGTAATACTGTTGTGCAAAAAAAAAAAATCAAAAAAAAAATCAAGTATCATTCTGGAATGTTTGTAAGCAAGACACGAGAAGTAATTCTTCCATTCTTCTCAGCACTGATAAGGCCTCAGCTGGAGTACTGTGACCAGTTCTGAGCACCGCACTTTGGGAAAGATGTGGAAAAACTGGAGAATGTTTGAAGGAGTGCAACAAAAATGATCATGGGTCTAGAAAACATGACCTATGAGGAAAGATTGAAAAACTTGGTTTTGTTTAATCTGGAGAAGAGAAGATCGAGGGGGGGCAGGATAACACTCTTCAGATATGTAAAAGGGTGCTATAAACAGGAGGATGCTATGGGGTGCTGGAACAATTTTTATAGTGGGGGCACTGAGATCCATTGAACCAAACTATAAACCTTGTATATAATGGAAACCACTTCAAGCCCGGGGGTGTGGCAGCACTCATACTTCCCGCACCTATGGGATGATACTTTGTTTTCCTTAACCACTGAGGATAGGACGAGAAGAAATTAGCTTAAATTGTGGCAGGGGAGATATAGATTAGACGTGAGGAAAAACTTCTTAGCTATAAAGGTAGTAAAGCACTGGAACAAATTACCTGGAATCTCTGTCACTGGATGTTTTTAAGAACTGGTTAGACAAACACCTTTCAGGGGTGGTCTAGATAACATGTAATGTTACCTAAGTGAAGAAGACTGGACTAGATGACCTATCAAGGTCCCTTCCAGTCCTACATTTCTATGATTCTAAAGCCATGTGTGTGGACTTGTTTTACAGTTCTTGTTTCTCTAAATGCTTTGCACTGATAAATAAACAATACTTGGTTTAAGAAGACTGTTTGGTAATTATATGTGCCACTGGTCGCAGACTCCTGAAGTGAAGAATCACAGTCGGACCTGCTGGGTAAGAACAGTTCATACACAGGGTACTGTAACCCAGGGTCCAGTTCAGGAGTGGGTGAAGTGCAGAATTCCACCTCGGAGAGGTAAAAGCATGAAGCCGAGAGGGAGTGCACCCACAAAGGGGTCAAAGGTGCAACTAGCCCTGTACCCGTGATGCTAATCTGCATATTTGTATAGAATCATAAACCTCAATTTAAAAAAAAGAAGTTGTGGGTGAATTTAGTGCTGGTGAAAAGTGTCAGACTGACAGGCAGTGGGAACAATGTCACTTGCAGGACAGCAGCCTGCTAACCTTTCCACACATATTGCTCTACCAGCCTCTCTCCAACCTGACCCGTAGGGACTCAACCTCTTGGAGCAGCAGGGATATTTCAAAGCAGGTCAACACTAAAAACACGGCATCGGCGCAGCTGCATGGATGCAGCTGTGCTGCTGTAGAACTTAAGTGAAGACGCTCCTATGCTGACAGAAGAGCTTCTCCCATCGGCCTACTTAATCCACCTCCTGGAGAGCTGATAGCTATGTCAATGGGAGAAGCTCTCCCTATCTACAGGAGAAGTGCCACCACACTGCCCCTGGAACCTTCTTGACATGAGCCCAATGGCAGCTGGCTGAAATGGTCCCACATGCTACAGACTGGTGAACAACTCCCAGCCCTGAGAACACCGATTTTCCAGGTATAACACTTGGAAATTACTGTGTGTAATAAGGGTTATAAAGCTCTGCGCTGGAGCTATGGAAAGCACAAGTACACCCCAAATATTTACGTGTCTGACTGAGTCTCTCTTTTAGCGGCATTTTTATCTCTGGCTGATTTCCGACATAATCCAATTTATTTAGATCAATAAGGAGCTGGCACCTGGCCATCTGAGACAGCAAAAACAGAACAGATTGGAATCTTAGAACAGCAGACATCTGCTCAGGCATCTCCCTACAGCACTTAAAAGTCAGCCAAATTGTATCAACAAAAAATAGTGGTGGTGAAGGTCTGGCACACCCAAGACTGAAGTCCTTTGATTAGCCACAGGCAGCTGTCGTGTAAGCTTCATCTTACTGCTTCATCTTTGACTTGGTAGGTGCCTCTGTCTGTCTGTGTCTATCTGTCAGCCAAGAAGGCCTAGTGTTGCCCACTCTCATTATTGGATTTTGAGTTGTACAATATTTCTCAGCTGTCATTTAAAAAATGAAGTACCTTTCTCAGTATTGCTAACCCTCACCGTTTAAAGGTCATGAGGCAGGCCCCACCAAATCATCAGATTGCTCTGCAATCATGATTTTTTTTTTTTTGAAAGAGTGAATCCTCTTTTTTGGGTATATTCCAATTTTTGAACTCCTCATGGCCACCACCACTGTATATGGCAACTGCAGTTTGCCATTTCTTGCCACAGTTGGTGGTTTTTTAAGCCCCAGATCCTGAAATTATGCAAATATACCCAGATCTCAGCTTTCATTAAAAAAAAGGAAGAAAGAAAGTTTCTAGCTCTTGTGGTTGTGGAGCTAAGTAGAGCCCTATGAAATTCTTTTTAATTTTTTAATTTATTTTTCTGGAATTTCACTTTATTACTCTTTAACATGGGAGGTGTCTGGGAGACCATACTGGATCCAGCCCCAGGGGGTAGGAGACCTGGGGAGGTCAGGTCTTGCCCCTCAGAGGAGAGTGCAGAGCAAGCCCACCCTGCACTCACTCCACAGGAACTGCTCCTGTCCTGCAGGGCTGGGCTCAGGTTTGGCCATTGAAACCTGGTGCC